ATTAAAATGTCTGTGGATGCCACCTGCATGAATTGTCTCGTTAATAAGGCGTATCCAATCCGGATCTATGACACATACAAATATCGATATCTCATTATTTCTGGTACAGAGCGACTCGCTGTAAATTTTTCGTTTAATATCCCTCTCTGTCTGAGCCATCGCCTGTACAATGGATGACAATGGCATCTAACAAAATATATGTGTAGTAATAAAGGATCAGCGAGTAATAATATGAGTATTTGAATAACATTACCTATTCACGTTCCCCTTGGTTGGTGTGAACTCTGGCCCCGAGAGGGGAGAATCATGGAGCTCAATCACATCCACCGCAGCTTGCCCGAGCCGCATCCGCACGTCAAAACACCCCCGTATCTGTCTTGTAGCGATGTCCGATTCGTGAACGAATGATTCATTTGAGTCGGCTCTTTTGAACAAATCAGTCGAACCAGTTCGTGAAACTGGTCTGAACAATACACGTATACTCTGCACACGTATTGAAATGAATCGGTCAGAAAGGCTCTCGAGTCAACAACTGCCCGACTCATTGAACTGAGAACCGCGTCTCTGATAGTAAAGGAGTGAACTAATAAGGATTTTATTTACACAAGTTACCTTACAGCCGAATAGCAAAAATGTTGCAAATAAAATGCTCTGTGTATGACTTAATTGTATTGAATTTTATCTACGAAAGCAAACTCAAACCAAAGTTAGTTTTTAATTATATTATATTAAAATATAAATACATTATTACCAAGGGATGTAAAGGAATTTTAGTTTTGTTTGTTGTAAATACAAATTAAATTTAGGTTACAATTAGTGGGATCCGTGGTTTATCATGGTGGAAACAAATTTAACTGAGACACTTGACAATAAACACCCATATAATATATAGGCCTATAAAAAATTAATCGAAAACGAAATAAATAGCAATATGTGCCTACAAGAACGTTTTAGAACATGTAATATGCCAGGGGACCACATAATGACGTAAAGAACCACTGAATCATTTTTGCACGGTTTCGTTATACGAACTGTTCAAGAGAACCGATTCGCAGAAATGAGTCTCCTTCTCATCACCGACACCGGCCCCGTTCCGTTGGGCAGATACGGGCGCTCACGCTGCTGAATTCGGAACCACATAGTGCTCTAACTTTTCCTGCCATAGAAAGATATGGTAAAAATAGTAGGAGTAGTAGGCCTATGTTAATATGTGGTTCCAATCCGAACTCAGCAAGCAAGCTGTCAATCGAATGGCAGATGTGACCATTTAGGTGCCTGATTGAAATGCGATCGTAGTGCATACGTCAGCCAAGTTGCGCAAATAAATGTTGTACTTGTTAAATCAAAGTACAGAAAGTGTTTATATTTTTCGTTTGAAATTGTATCGTCATGCTCATGTACGTAACTGACGTCAGGTTATATTTTTACATCGGTTATTTAGGTTAGGACTGAGCGGGGACTGTCAAATGGGGTCCTAATTTGGGTCCTCAAGTATAGAAAACAACAATAACAGCAGCTAGCAAGCAGAGTCGAAAGGAATTATAATTTAATTGAATGCCGTTAAAGTTTTAAAAAATCATGGATGATAGTGAACTAGAGAGGTATGAATATCCTAAATATATATATATTTTTGTTTTCAACCAATTCAGAGGGTCAGTTTAAGAAGTTATGCTATATGTGCCACACTGTATAGGCTAACGGTCAGTGAAGAGGTATAACGTTTGGTAATAATGTATGGCCAGGTATCATACTACAGTGCCACTGCCTTAAAGAAGTACTGTGAACAACAAAGCAATATAGAAATATTGAATATTTTTGTGTCTGCTGCAGTCAGGATTAACAACGAAACAGTAAATATTTCGGGTCCTTAGGTCACGCTATAAATCCTGTTAATATTCCTTCCTCCCACAGGAAAGCAGTGGAGGAGCTCCTTAAAGAAGCTAATAGAGCAAAAGTCCGTGCCCAGACAATGGGTCCTGCTGGCTGGTAAGTGTGGATAACCATGTTAGAAAGCTTTCTTTATCATAAATAAATGAATGTGTAATTCCCTTATGTATTTTGCGTCTGAAAGCTGGTTAAATCGCTGTATTCTAGGATGAAATGTCCGCTGGGAAGTACAAACAAGCGCTTTCTGCTGAACACTCTTCGTTCCTCTGCTCTGACGCGTTCTTCTGAGAGAGGAAGGGATGAACATAAGTACAACAGAGTTTGTGAAAGACATCGTAAAACAGACTGTGAAAAGTGCAATCACAAAAAAGTCGAATCACACAGAGGACACAATTCTCATTTTCACACTTCAAAACATCGCTCTTCGACACGCAATCATTCATCATCCAGAAGCCACTCCCCCAGCCTCTCCCGGAAGTCAGATAGGAGTCGATCGCGCTCACCAGTGCGGGACAGTTCTCCAGATGTCAAAAAATACACTGACAGAAAGAAAGAATGATGGAACATTCAAAGGAGAATTTGTTTTGGGAATGTATGAGATATTTACGTCTGTTCATGTTTGCTGAACAATATTATTAAAATAGCATTTTAAAAACAACTAAACAGACAGATTTTTATCATTGAGAAAGGCTGTGAATATGTATTTATTGTTTAACTTGAAAGTCCGATTTTCAGAACGATTTTAAAACCTTATTGTGCTTTACAAATGTCTCTTCGGATATATATATATATCCCTGACATTGGTTTAATAGAAACTCAAAAATATTATGTTATCTGAACATTATTAATTATAAGTCGATTTGACAAAAGATACAAATTTGTGATAACAAATCATGAAAATAATTTTGACAGTGTATATATATATAGGCTATATATATGTATATATAATGTGTGTGTGTGTGTGTGTTTGCAAGCTGTAAAGCCACTCGCCAGTAAGCAAGCATATTTTATTGCCGTTCGTCCTCTGCCATGGATTATTTCTTATCAAAGAGTGAAAATTTGCTTTGTTTCCGTATGATTCTCCTTACTTGCGCCTCACCATGAAAAACATTAATCAAAACATAGGCTACATATCCTGCACGTGTTGTGTAGCCAAAACTGCGTTCTCATTTACGTTTTTTGAGACGAAGCATCTTGTAGTTGCAGTCCGGGTTTATCAACATCTGATTACGTATCGTTTTACATAACGAAATTGTACCATTATGATTTATCTATACGCTCAACTCGTTTATAGCTACACATTACTCCTACTCAAACATACAAGTGGTTCCAGAACGCTTTTGCGTGTCCCCTAACTGGTTTATTGCATTTTATCTAAAGTTTCAAAACGCATTTTAATTGCTACAGCCGATTTTATGTACCAGTGCCTTAAGTTGTGTATTTCCTATATGGCATGGCAAAGCTACATTAAATATCACTTTGCACCATTATTCCTCTCAAAACCTTCCATGGATATACTTCCAAATTGCGTCGTCTCACTCACGCTTCATAAAACCTTTTGTGCTCTTTCAACATTGTGAAAATAATCGCGGATAACGGTTTCCTTCCCTTTTCAAAAGAGCTCATATATAAACACCATTAAGCGTCGTTACAAGGCTTGATTTGCGAGGAATGGATTTACCTGAACTTTATGATATCGCATGAGAGCCCCATTAAGATAGCAGAGAAAGTGCCATTATTGTCATTTGAAGAGGCCCATGTAAACACAGCACTAGGCTATGTCATACAGTCTCCACTCCAATGTTGCTTGAACATAGTAAAAATGTTTCAATCTTTTTTATAGGCTAAATATAAAAGATCGGGTGATTCTTCCGTTACTTTTACTAATCTTGATAGGCTTCTATTTGAAATGCAACACATTTTATGCTAAAGGATGAAAGTTGATTTAGGTGTAATGTGCTCCCCTTCTATTAAAAAACAAACAAACTTTGAAAACTTTCAAAATTGAAGAAAAAAACATAACGCTTAAATCTATTACAATTGAAAATGATTGATTATTTTGGACGTGTTTTTAGCAGACTTGGGGAAATTCCAATCACCTTTTTATGCTGCCCGTTTCTCTCTGTCTGACCTCTCCAAACAGCGGACCGCCCGGTGCGCGCATGCACCTTACGCACACATCTCTAACTAATTGAGTTTCGTTTCACTCTCCATGTTAATTCGTTTACACCGAACAGCTCGTTTTTATTTAACCACGAGGACTTTAGTTTAATGGGCCGTGGGCGGGTGTGCTTAATGGCAGGTAAGCTTGGTTGAAGACAACAGGGATGTAGCTTAGTGTAATGATTGCCTTTGTCACCAGTGTAACAGTGTATATATTTTACGTGACAAATAGGCCTACTTAGGGGGCCTCTCTTAAATACACTTTGGCAATATTTTGGGGCGCAGTCTGATAAAGTGTGACTCGCATAACACAAATTCTAATTGGCACCATAAGCTAAACGTCAATTAGCTATTATTTTAAATACTACTTAATTGTGTGCTATGATAGCCTAAATCTCGAATAAAGTGCTATCACCCGAGAAACTCCGCCAGGCTTGGTCATCGATTTTTCCGAGTAGGATAGCCATATTCTTGGATCAACATATTTTGTTGATCCTGGAACAACATCTGAAAATTTAGTCATAACCCTACCCCTAAACATAACCCTAAATTATCCATAAATCAGAGGGAAGTGATGAATAACACCGATGTGAGCCAAAACTCGACATAAACTGTGAACTTGTCCCTCAAATCTGGTTGGTTGATCAGATTTAGGATATCTGATCAACCAATCAAGATTGATGATCCAGGAACATGTTGTAGCTACTTGGTGAAAGTCACATTCACCATGGTGATCTCCTCAAGCCAACTGGACGAATACACAGTACACTCGCATCTATTTACCGACAGGTGAAAATACGCATTCTTAATATCAGTTGTTTAAAATTTAGCCTGTACACATATGGAAAAAAAAGGATTAGCTATGCATTTTAAAAGACCCCCCAACCGATGGTGCAGCTCAACTCGCACGCTGCTTACTGACGTTGTTGTAACATTTTTTTCCCTTATCTTCTTTTTTACCGGGTCGGTAGGCTATTCAATGAAAAGTGGCAGGTTTTCCGCGGGGAGCAGAGATACTGATCCCCCGATTCACCTGTCTTTGTAGTAGTATTACAACTGCAGGTGTTGCACATATAGTCGCAGGCAAACAGAGAGTGTTTGCCAAGGGCATTGATTTGAGCATGGTCAGTTCTGTTCAATTATTGTCAAACCGCGGGGCAGTCAAAAGGAAACACGAACAGAATCTCCTGCCAGTTGACAGCTTTGTGTAAACAGTGAAAGCGATGGTGCAGCAGGGTCACATGGTCCCGGTGGCACACCTATGAGGCCCTAGAGCGGCGCCAGACGCTCAGACTGCAGGTAGAGCAGAGGTCCTGATCAGGGGCAGGGCGCTGGCTCATGTGCTCGAGTACAGCACGGTTTCCCCGGTCTGTGGCAATCATGAATCGGGAAGAGCACTATTACTCACCTAACCATCTGTACAAGGACTCTTGCGCCTTTCAGAGACACCCCAACGAAGACTACTGCCAAAACCCTCCACCGTGTTTGTATATGAGTAGACAGACTCAGTCCGTCTACGCCTCACCGTCATTGGGCGCACAGGACCAGCCAAATCTTACCGACATTACCTCTTATAACATGTCGACCCGGGATGATCTAGCAGCAGGGCCCCATCTTCATCTTCCTCAGACTCCACAGACATCTCTACAGACGCTCGGGGGTTACGGAGACTCTCTTGACCTGTGCGGGGATCGGAACAGATACCATCTTCCCTTCCCGTGGATGAAGTCAACTAAATCTCACTCACACGCCTGGAAAGGACAGTGGACAGGTAACTCGTAGGCCTACTTTGGTCATTAATCTTTACAGGTTTAACAAATAACTTTTATTAAAACGAAAGCAGGCCCCCAATGTCAAATTCATCCGCACGATCTCCAAACTCTTAAGCGCTTAAACGAAATATCCATTTGCAAGTAGATAATTATTATAGGCTAATATTTCTAATTATCTAAATTGTTACAGCAGTCATTTACTACAGTTTAGGATACACGTCCAAAATCGCCCATAAGAAGAATGCAGCAGAAATGAAGAATGTTAGTTTTTGATTCTTTGCTTCACTCATGTCTACATTTTAAATTCATTGGCCTATACATTTATATTGCATAGTTAATTCATTTCAGCTGCCTGATTATTTTTATTAGCCTTTATTCACTTACAAGATCATTTTGAGAACATTATATTGTTTGGCTACAGTTATTGTAAAATTTGATTGATTAAAATTAATATAAACTAAAATGACAACAAAATAATTTACTATCTACATCGAATTTGGCCTATATACAATTATTATTGAAAAAATATGTAGCCTATAATTAATATGATTATTTTGGGATTAAAAATGATGACCTGAGGAACACAGATGTTAGCCTACTTGAAAGGTCTCCAAAAGCGTGACATTTGGACCAATGCATAATTTTATTCTTGATTTCTTTTGCTTTAAATAAATGCATTTTTTAAAGACTAATTTTAATTCCTTAATTAGTATTTGATTAGAAAACGAAAGAGAGGATATTATTGCTGAAAATACTCAGACAAAACAGCTGGTTATGTTACAAATATTTCTAGCGTTCAGATAGCCTAAATAATTGTTTCAGAAAATGTTGATTCACGAGAGGCTGCTTAAAGTAATTCGACATATTGTCAGAAATATGTTCTTTTAGGGATTTAAATCAGGAATGGTTAATGGTTAGCCTAAATCATGAATTTGTCCCATAGTCAGTCGCAGGACTACAAACTGAACTGATCATGCGTCAGATAACTTTTAAACTATAGGGCCTAATATCCTCAGGGGCAGATATAGCGTGTCAGCGAGAAAAATGTCGAAAACATGACTTTACTAAAAATGTCAGTCACTCATGTAGGCTACCTGTGTTTTAGGCCATTACATGGTAGAGGCCGAGGAGAACAAGCGCACGCGGACTGCTTACACCAGAGCGCAGCTGCTCGAGCTCGAGAAAGAGTTCCTCTTCAACAAGTACATCTCGCGCCCACGCCGCGTGGAGCTCGCGCTCACCCTCAGCCTCACCGAGAGACACATCAAGATCTGGTTCCAAAACCGACGCATGAAGTGGAAAAAGGAGGAGGACAAGAGGAGAGCCAGAGGAGTGGATCCCGAACAGGATTCCTCCATTACGTCCGGGGATTTGAAGGATGAGTCGTGTGTGGCCCCGGGAACTCTAGCGGGACCGCCTTCACCCCTGCACTCGCACGTATCTCCAGTTTCACAAGACTCGTAAGAAATATGACTGTCCAAAAGAGACATCCGAGACTGTATCATCAACGGAATCTATCAGTCTGCCATCGATGATTGGAACTATAATTGTGCAAATTGTGACTTTCCATTCCATTCTCACAGTGACATTTGGTAAAATCCTGAATATTGGCAGTAGGGGGCGATCTCAGTTGCGCGAGAGACGAAGCTTCTGTAGAGTCAATTTCGTGTTTTCTGTGAAGGGCAGGCTAATCGATATTCAGCACGCCATTGAAACACCAAATGTTCAAGATCAAATAGGATAGGCCTATATTCTTGGACATTCGCCTATTCAAATTTGAATGGCTACTCATTTTTATAGCTAGATAGAGAATAAATAGTTTCTTAATTTAGGTAAATAGCCTACTATTCCTCTATCATTACAACATTCTTCTAATAAAATTAATAATATTTATGCAGACCTATACAAACCATTTAATAGCATGTGGGCAGTGTCGTCATCATGTGTTTTAATTTGGTGCAAACAAAAATAATAAATCAAAGCAACAACCCGTAGCCTATGCCTAAAAGACCGCCAATTGAAGAGAAAAAAAAAGCACTATACCCTGATACGTCTGCAAGATGTCTGTTAAAGAGTGCTTCATCTGGAAAGCACATGTGTACAAACATCTGAGAGACATCTTTAAGATGTCAGTGCTTTCATAAACATCTTAAAGACATTTTTAAATGTCTATTTAAGTCAGGAAACCTCCTAGTATGGCAGATGACCAGATGTTCTAGGGAGAGTGCATCGACAAAAACACGTGCTGCCGTTTTTATCACTTAATTTTATTATAGATTTACATAGCACAATTAGATCACAAAATAGTAAATATTATCTTATATAAATATAAATGTTAGGGGCCCTAAAACGTGGCTTATAAACGCCATAATATATGAATCAATTTATTTAGACACTTTGCTTTTTGTGGGTTTTCTTATTTTACACAAATTAACATACAAATTAAAATAATATAGCTAGGCTACAATCAAGTAGAGAGAGGGAGTAAAACTTTTTTAAAGTTAACTTGAGGTGGGCCTAGGCTACAGTTTGGTTTGAATGCCAGATAGGACAATATTGTGTAACCTGAGGCTACAGATTTTTTTAACCTCTTCGATCGCGAGCTCCCGCTCCGCTGCACAATCATTCTTCAGGCGTTCAGACAGTCGGCGCATAATATCCGCTTTGTTGTTGAGACGGGCGCATATGACGAAAGGGAAGCCAAAGCGTTCCCTGTACTCCGAGTTTAGACGGTGCATGAGCAGAATCTCTGCGGAATCCAGTGCGGTCATACCGGATTGACTCTGCTCTTCTCGAGAATCGCGTGTTAGTGTCCCGCTCTGGAGATCTCGGCCCGCCAAATCAGGATGACAACGCAAAATGCCCTCTTTACCTGAACACATGTAATGTACTTTTATTGTATATACATCAGTAAATAAATTATTGTGTTTAAAACTTAAGAAAACGTGATACCAAGTGTTGTTAAGTTGATATGCAGTAGCCTACCCGAGTCTGACAGGCTGTCAATGAATTCCGTTATGTGAGCCTCGATGTCTGTTAGATCTTTGAAAGGCCGATGGGACCATATTGCAGCAGAAATGATGGGGCATTTCTCAACCACATTACCGAATAGTTCCACAAATTCTTCATACGTGAGAGCATTTACAGCCCATATGTCCATGGCTCCGGCGCGTGTCAAACTGTTGCCTACTGGAAAATGACTAAAGCCAATATTGGACGAGGTCATTGTCCGTTGGGGCAAGTACCCTAGCTTTCCCATTTAATATCAGTTAATTGTATTCGTAATGTGGTTCACTGAGGAGGATTTGTCAAAATACCCTTATTACACACTACAGGTATGATTATTGGGGTTTATAGATTTAAAATATTTTATTGCAGTTGCCTTAATACACAGATTCTCCCTGGCATATAGGGGGGAGACCGGGGGCGATTGTAACAGGGGGCGATTGTAACACACTCAATTCCTCCAATCAGAAACAAGCTAGAGTGATGACACTTAATCTGTACATGCCCGGTAGGATTCTCTCTCTCTCTGTGGAAAAGAAGCGAGAATTTTTCAACTTTAGCAGAAGTTGTTAACGACAAACTGATTTTGAGGTATGAAAGTTATTTTTTGGATACAGTATTTTTCTTCTGCTGTCTAAAGTTTAGATGTCTGTGAATTTAAACTTATATACATTTTATCCCTAGGTTATTGATTAAAAACGAACATGAACAACCTATGCTAATACAGGTTGGGCTAGCTAGCATATAAGATGTTATCATGGCTGCAGTATCGGGTACAATTGCCCCCGAGCCACAAGGGCAAGGCCCATTGTAATAAGCTTGTTTGTGTGTGTTGACATACTTTTCTGTTAAAAAATGAACCTATTTCACTAAATTCTATTGTAAAACTTCATTTTAAAAGGGTCTAGCCTATTAAAATAAATGTTTGCTCCAGTATTAACAAATCATCAATTAACATAGGCCTACATTTTTTTTATATAATGCGTGTGATGCCTGACATCTAAAAAAATTTGAACCATATACAAAAAAACTCTTAAGTAACATTATTAAATACAACAGCAATAAAGTGATTACTTTGAGGTAGGCTTTTATTTGAGATAAAGTGGGTTAATAGGAGTTATTTCTCAGTGTTACAATTGCCCCCACACACTGTTACAATTGCCCCCTTGGCGGGGGCAATTGTAACTCTCTGACTTCTTGCATTTAATTAAATATTTTAGTCTTGTTCTTATAAGTGAAAATATATAAATTGTATTATTAATTAGTGCACAATGCACATATATATGTTTCTTGTATCAAAAGATGACTAGTCTATCTCAAGTAGTTTGTGAGTTATTAAGGAAAATGTAAAATATGTTACAATTGCCTCCGGTCTCCCCCGGAGGTGGATTGTGGATTATACCCTAAATGTACACAAATGTGTGCTAACAATCAGTAAAAATGTTTTCTGGGACCTATTTTGGTATGGATCAAATTCACTGATCAACGTTTTTTCTTGGTATGTTGTTGTGTTTTTTGTTTACTAGGCTACCCTTAATTTGCCCCGCTGATGTTCATAAATATGGTGGATGAGCGGAAAAACCAGAAACGTACCAGTACAAACGTACATTTCTCCACTTATAAAAAATCTTGGGGGAAAAAATATCTTTTTCTTAAATCTAAACATTGAGTCATATGGAGGAAATGTTAAAATATGAGAAACACATATGCCATGCCATCTCAGCATGTTTTTATGATTTAATAAAATACATTTTTGGATGCATTTCACCTCTAAAATGTCAGGCCCTGTCACAGACAAATGGTTTCCTAATGAATTTATTTGATACAAACAGCATTTTCTTATTGATCACATGTCCCTGATTGTATCTAACATTGTTTTGTAATTCCTTTAATAAATTACTTTTCGGTCAACTGTATAGGCTAGACAAAATCACAGAATATCCGCCAGGCACTCACATAGTTGTAAAACAACTACCTTTACATAGGAGATTTTTTACAAAAACATAGTAGTGGATATATACCCCACCTTCATCTACACAGTTAAAGAGATTAATTCATCAATATTTCCTCAAATAGTACACTTTTATGTCATAATTTCCTGTGTGACAGGACTGATGGTGCTGTGACAGGACTGACTTTATGGATTTTGATGATTCAGAAAAAGTTATGTTTTGTGTTCTTTAAGTTTTGATAAGCATTCCTATTTTAAATTATTATTATAATTGTAATATTAATGTAATATTAGACTATGGTAAAGTTCAGCCAAGGACATACACAATATTGCCAAAAGTATTGGGACAGCCCTCCAAATAATTGAATTCAGGTGTTCCAATCACTTCCATGGCCACAGTTATACAATCAAGCACCTGGGCCTCCAGACTGCTTCTACAAACTTTTGTGAAAGAATGGGTCGCTCTCAGGAGCTCAGTGAACTCAAGCATGGTACCGTGATAGGTTGCCACCTGTGCAATAAGTCCATTCGTGAAATTTCCTCACCATTAAATATTCCATGGTCAACTGTTAGTGGTATTATAACAAAGACAAAGTGGAAGCAAATGGGAACAACAGAAGTTGGCAGAAGTCACCAACTTTCTGCAGAGTCAATAGCTACAGACCTCCAAACTTCTTGTGGCCTTCAGATTAGCTCAAGAACAGTGCGTAGAGAGCTTCATGGAATGGGTTTCCATGGCCAAACAGCTGCATCCAAGCCTTACATCACCAAGTGCAATGCAAAGCGTGGGATGCAGTGTAAAGCATGCCGCTACTGGACTCTAGAGCAGTGGAGACGTATTCTCTGGAGTGACGAATCACACTTCTCTGTCTGGCAATCCGATAGACGAGTCTGGGTTTGGCGGTTGCCAGGAGAACGGTACTTTTCTGCCTGCATTGTGCCAAGTGTAAAGTTTGGTGGAGGGGGGATTATGGTGTGGGGTTGTTTTTCAGGGGTTGTTTTTCAGGGGTTTTTCAGGAGTTCCAGTGAAAGGAACTCTTAATGCTTCAGCATACCAAGACATTTTGGACAATTTCATGCTCCCAACTTTGTGGGAACAGTTTGGGGATGTTCCTGTTTCAACATGACTGCGCACCAGTGCACAAAGCAAGGTCCATAAAGACATGGATGAGCGAGTTTGGTGTGGAGGAGCTTGACTGGCACAGACTCCTGACCTCAACCCGATAGAACACCTTTGGGATAAATTAGAGCAGAGACTACAAGCCATGCTTTCTCATCCAACGTCAGTGTCTGACCTCACAAATGCGCTTCATTTGCATCAAAAATTCCCATAAACGCACTCCTAAACCTTGAGGAAAGCCTTCCTAGAAGAGTTGGAGCTTGGCTGGAAAGGTTGGGCCAACTCCATATCAAAACCCTATGGATTAAGAATAGGATGTAATTAAAGTTCATGTGCATGTAAAGGCAGACATCCCAAAACTTTTGGCAATATAGTGTATAATAAGGACCTAATTCATTAGAATATATTTACAGTGTAATGTCTATTTTCAAATAACGTTTTATAGCATGCGTTAAATATGCAATAAAGATAATAAAAAAGAACAATAACATTCATTTGTAAGGCCGTGTCACAGGACTGTCAGGCCCTGTCACACAGGAATGTGACTGGGCCTGATGTGACAGGGTCTGACAGCCGGTGTTGTGCCGAATTTCGACCCCCTGCCAAATTAGTACCCCCCTCATTGAAGTCAGTACCTGATTGCCTAATCCCAACCCCGCCCCTAATCCTAACCCCTCCCCTAATCCTAACCCCTCCCCCACAACTAATCCTAAACCTACCAATGCTAGGGGGGTAATAATTTGGCGGGGGTCGAAATTCGGCACAACACCGGCCATTTTAAACTGCCATTGCTCAGCCTGCTAGCATTCTAGCATAAAAACTGTTAACATGCAAGCAAGGAATTTCAGTAACCTTTTAAGACATGTTTTAGATTTAAAACATTTTCATTATTTTCTGGGATGTTTTACCATGACAGGGTCTGACCCTTTAGCTCGTCTTCCTAAAAAAAAAAACATACAAAAACCAGCTTAAAAATCATACAATTCAATGACAGAATTCAGCCTTGATTGCAATAGGCAGTTTGAGATGAGCAAAATCTGACCAGAACCGATCACCGGTGATCACCGCGAGATGCATGCCGGTTAGAAATGTGATGCGAGCTCCGCAGCAGACAAAGCGACGTTACGTCACGAAAGTGTGGACTAGTAGGAAGACCGCGAGTGCTTACCATAGGCCCTGTCCCAAATTGCGCACTTCATGCGGACTTTCGGTCTCGTGGACTTAAATTGCGCGTGCTCGCCATGTCTACGAGTCCGTAGGCCGTCCCATTTAGCATTTTAACGCTCTGAAGTGTGCTCAGTATCGCCCCCTTTGTACCCTTGAAGCGGTCTTCCGCGAAGCCCGCATAGATGCAGGCTCCACGCACTTTAACTCCTTGCGAAAGGCCAATCAGACAACGGATGGGAGGAGATTTCGCTCATGGACAATTGTTAACATGGCTGGGAAGAAAATATTTAAGTGTAATTATCATTACGGTTTTTATGACAAGTTTATACAAACATTATGATCATCGACCAGTGGTTGATGTCTCAAACATAGGCTAATAATAGCGAGCTGAATAATACGATCGCATTATGATTCATTAAATAAATAGAACAGAATGTCAGGGGTTTACTGAGTCATATGTAAACACAAAAACAATAGGCAGCATATTTCCCCGAACCTGTAGCTCCTGTCCATAACAACAATCAGACCGTCTTCCTGTTTCCGCCGTGACGATCGAGTGTGTCCCAAAAATACCAATCAATGCGCCCTCGCGGACTCACGCTAAAGGCCCTATAGGTCTGCACTACATGACGTCACCGAAGTGTGGACTCTGAGGAAGTCCACAAGTCCGGAGTGTGCCATTTGGAACAGGGCCATAGACAGTAAAAGAAAGGTGCTTTAGACATGTCTATGAGTGCTTAGGCTGCCATTTGGGACATGGCACTGCACCATGGCGCCCTCTTCTGTAGGTCTATGATATAAACACTTTCAAAGTCAACGCATTCCATAACGGTGCAATTCCATGAGGGTCCTCATCATCGGTGCTCGGGCTCTAACTGAGGTTACACAGAAATATGAGAAAAATGCACAATTTGTGTTTTATTTGCTCTGTTGCATCTTAAACCTTACATATAATCATTTTTCAGCTACTCCAACATACAAATAACAATGATCCCTTTTCAATAATTATATCCACTCATTCACTGTCCCAGTGCTCTCGAAAGCAAGGGAAATAAACAATGATTACATTACAATTAATACTTTATCACTTTAAGCAATGGAACTGAAAAAAAAATCATTTTTGTTTATAGAAAATCTGCACAAATGTGCAATTTTAAAATTTGTGTTACAAGAAATGATAAGCATAACTAAGCATACTGTAGACTATTCTTATTACATGATAAATAATATTAAAGGAAAATTATTAAGCCATAAATGTTTTAAAGGTTGAATAAATAGAGTTTTTCTTATAAAAATAGAGCAATTTATTAATTTATTAGTCTGCAAATGCAGCAAAAATAACATAATTAATACTGTCCATGATCTGTTCTCAAACACAGCAACTTTTATCATCCTTCATTATGGTACAGAAGCAGGTTAGGCTATTTTAAAGTTCTATTTAAAATTTGGAAGATTTGTTATTTTTCATAGTTCCTAAAGAAGCTTGCTGAACAAAACAACATTCAAATACTATATATTATTAACATAAAAAATGTTTACACCCATAAAAAATAACAAATAAACATTTGATAACCGAATCAGGGTTAATAGGCCTCAATCTAAAAATATTAAACATATTATTGGCGGTACAAGAAATGATACATAACAATTCCTTCCACAATTTCTCTTGAAACTAAAAATGCTATGTGTAAGTGGTATTGGAAGCACAAATTATGCATTAAGTTTTCCCAATGCCAGACATAATCAAGGCTTAAACTCATATTCAAACAAGAGGTTCAGTTCTGTCTAATCCAGGACTGTCCACAGATTTGCCTTCATCTGAATTCTCAGTGTTGGACTGGAAGGCATCCTGTTTGTTCTCCATCAATGTAGCATCAGGGGTCATCGGTGCATTCTGGTATGTTACTTCATTGTGGCAGGATCCTCCAAAATTGTAATATAGCTGTAGACAGATATCACAGTAAATGTGTATCCGCCAGCAATGTTACCATATTTTAAAAATAACTTTCACATAAAAGTCACCCTCTCTTCCAAAGCAGCCAGCTCTTTTTCCATGAAAGCCACAAGCTTGGAGAAACAAGGTCGATCTACAGGATCCAGTGTCCAGCAGCGACACATAACGCTGTATCTAAATAAACACAAACACCAGTAGTCTATAAAATGTACTGTATAATAAATGTTCTATGTTAATTTTGTATATATATATATATATATATATATATATATATATATATATATATATATATATATATACAGTCAGTGAGGAAAATAAGTATTTGAACACCCTGCTATTTTGCTAGTTATCCCACTTAGAAATCATGAGGGGGTCTGAAAAAAAAAAATCCAGAAATCACAATGAATGACTTTTTTTTTACTATTTATTTGTATGATACAGCTGCAAATAAGTATTTGAACACCTGAGAAAATCAATGTTAATATTTGGTACAGTAGCCTTTGTTTGCAATTACAGAGGTCAAACGTTTCCTGTTTTTCACCAGGTTTGCACACACTGCAGGAGGGATTTTGGCCCACTCCTCCACACAGATCTTCTCTAGATCAGTCAGGTTTCTGGGCTGTCGCAGAGAAACACGGAGTTTGAGCTCCTTCCAAAGATTCTCTATAGGGTTTAGGTCTGGAGACTGGCTTGGCCACGCCAGAACCTTGATATGCTTCTTACAGAGCCACTCCTTGGTTATCCTGGCTGTGTGCTTCGGGTCATTGTCATGTTGGAAGACCCAGCCTCGACCCATCTTCAATGCTCTAACTGAGGGAAGGAGGTTGTTCCCCAAAATCTCACATTACATGGCCCCGGTCATCCTCTCCTTAATACAGTGCAGTCGCCCTATCCCATGTGCATAAAAACACCCCCAAAGCATGATGCTACCACCCCCATGCTTCACAGTAGGGATGGTGTTCTTGGGATGGTACTCATCATTCTTCTTCCTCCAAACACGGCGAGTGGAATTATGACCAAAAAGTTCTATTTTGGTCTCATCTGACCACATGACTTTCTCCCATGACTCCTCTGGATCATCCAAATGGTCATTAGCAAACATAAGACGGGACTTGACATGTGCTGGTTTAAGCAGGGGAACCTTCCGTGCCATGCATGATTTCAAACCATGACGTCTTAGTAGTGTATTACCAACAGTAACCTTGGAAACGGTGGTCCCAGCTCTTTTCAGGTCATTGACCAGCTCCTCCCGTGTAGTTCTGGGCTGATTTCTCACCTTTCTTAGGATCATTGAGACCCCACGAGGTGAGATCTTGCATGGAGCCCCAGTCCGAGGGAGATTGATAGTCATGTTTAGCTTCTTCCATTTTCTAATGATTGCTCCAACAGTGGACCTTTTTTCACCAAGCTGCTTGGCAATTTCCCCGTAGCCCTTTCCAGCCTTGTGGAGGTGTACAATTTTGTCTCTAGTGTCTTTCGACATCTCTTTGGTCTTGGTCATGTTAGTAGTTGGATTCTTACTGATTGTATGGGGTGGACAGGTGTCTTTTTGCAGCTAACGACCTCATCTAATTTAGGATAATAAATGGAGTGGAGGTGGACATTTTAAAGGCAGACTAACAGGTTTTTGAGGGTCAGAATTCTAGCTGATAGACAGGTGTTCAAATACTTATTTGCAGCTGTATCATACAAATAAATAGTTATCTGTAAATAAAAATCATATATTTTTTATATAAGATTATGTCTCTCACAGTGGACATGCACCTACGATGACAATTTCAGACCCCTCCATGATTTCTAAGTGGAAGAACTTGCAAAATAGCAGGGTGTTCAAATACTTATTTTACTCACTGTATGTGTGTGTGTGTGTGTCTGTATACAGTATCTCACGAAAGTGAGTACACCCCTCACATTTCAGCAAACATTTTAGTATATCTTCTCAAGGGACAATGCTATAGAAATGAAACTTGGATATATTTTAGAGTAGTCAATGTCCTGCTTGTATAACAGTATAGATTTACTGTCCTCTGAAAATAACTCAACAGCCATTATTGTCAAAATAGCTGGCAACAAAAGTGAGTACACCAAGTGATAACAGCACTACGCTGTTTAACCATGCCACATGTCCTATTCATAATTTTCATGTTTTTGCCTGCTTGACAGGACCATACAAATTTGTGTATCTTGTATTAGAGCAGTTCAAATTTGTGCTTTGGGTACAATTCTCTCATACTGACCACTGGATGTTCAACATGGCTCCTCATGGCAAATAACTCTCTAAGGATTTGAGAATTAGAATTGTTGCTCTCAATAAAGTTGACCGAGGCTATAAGAATATTGGTAACACCCTGAGTTACAGTACAGTGGCCAGGGTCATACAGAGGTTTTCCAAGACGGGTTCCACTTGGAACAGGCCTCACAAGGGTCGATCAAAGAAGTTGAGTCCTCGTGCTGTGGATCAGGTGCAGAAGCAAGCTTCAAAAAACAGATGCATGAGTGCTGCCAGCATTGATTTAGAGGTCGCAGAAGCGGAAGGTTGGCTTGTCAGTGCTCAGAACATACGCCGTTGGCCGTTGTCCCAGAAGGAAGCCTCTTCTGAAGCTGGCTCACAAGAAAGCCCACAAACAGTTTGATGAAGACAACCTGTCCAAGAGCATGAATTACTAAAACCATGTCCTGTGGTCCGATGAGACTAAGATAAACTTGTTTGGCTCAGATGGTGTCCAGCATGTGTGGCGACGCCTTGGTGAGGAGTACCAAGAAAATTGTGTCTTGCCTACAGTCAAGCATGGTAGTGGTAGCATCATGGTCTGAGGCTGCATGAGTGGTGCTGGTACTGGGGAGCTGAGCTTCATTGAGGGAAACATGGATTCCAACATGTACTGCGACATTCTGAAGCAGAACATGAAGCCCTCCCTTCAGAAACTGAGCCGAAAAGCATGATAACGACCCCAAACAGACCGCCAAGATGACAACTGCCTTGCTGAGGAAGCTGAAGGTGAAGGTGATGGAGTGGCCAAGTATGTCTCCAGACCTGAACCCTATTGAGCACCTGTGGGGCGTCCTGAAGCGGAAGGTGGAGAGACGCCATGTGTCTAACATCCAGCAGCTCCATGATGTCATTATGGAGGAGTGGAAGAGAGTCCCAGCAATAACCAGTGCAGCTCTGGTGAATTCCATGGCCAGGAGGATTAAGGCAGTGCTAGATAGCAATGGTGCTCACACAAAATATTGACACTTTGGACACAGTTTTGACATGTTCACTTAGGGTGTACTCACTTTTGTTGCAAGCTATTTTGACAATAATGGCTGTGTGTTGAGTTATTTTCAGAGGACAGTTAATATATACTGCCATACAAGCAGGACATTGACTACTCTAAAATATATCCAAGTTTCATTTCTATAGTATTGTCCCTTGATAAGGTATACTAAAATGTTTGCTGAAATGTGAGGTGTGCACTCACTTTTGTGAGAGACTGTGTATATATATATATATATATATATATATATATATATATATATATATATAATATGCACACACACACACACACATACATAATACATACATACAGGTTATATCAATTAGATTTTGATTTTAATTAAAAATAGAGGCACTTACATGGATTCTGCTGCATAATAGGGTTGCTCCATTTGATATCCACTTTCAATCATTCTGTAGAATGAGTTATTCACAGTTATACCAGGATATGGGGTGACTCCTAATAGACATGAATAGTGATTAAAAATAACAAAACACTGTGTTCTTTTAATCAGGAATGATTTATAGAAATGTTCTTGTTTAAATACAAGTTAAGCTGTTTTGACAGCAAAGAGAGACACCTAGAGAAAAGATTTCCCATAGAAGAATGCCATAGGCCCAGACGTCGCTCTGCATAGTGTACAGCCCTTTGAAAATACTCTCAGGAGCCATCCACTTCACGGGCAAACGCACCTGCAAAAATGGCATGTAAACAATTACAATTACAAGTTAACTAAATGAAGACCAGTCACATCTAGACTATCATACATGCACCCAAAATACCTACATTTCCTCTTACGACGTAGTTGGAATCATATTCAATGTCTCTGGCGAGGCCAAAGTCGCCGATCTTCACTTGCCTGCCATGTGTCACCAAAACATTTCTGGCTGCCAAGTCCCTATGGATACACTGTAGGCAGAAAATTGTTCACAAAAGCCTTGCAATGACTACACAACGATATGAGAAAACAAATCAAGATATTAACCACTCAGACAAAAATAGTGGGAGGGGGGGATGGGGGAAATAAGAAAGGTGTCAGTTTCATCTCTGAAATAGCAGGAAGTAGAAGTTTCTGGATCAGAAAGATAAGCTCACATTTTTAGAGGACAGGAACTCCATGCCCTTTGCAACTTGAAAAGAGAAACTCAGGAGGTCATCATAGGTGAGACTCTGAAGTTCCTCTTCTTGAAGTTTGTCTTCACATTCAAGCATTTCTTTACAGAATTGACATAAAACAATTTAGTTTTATTACCTATTGTATTAATTATCATTAGTTATTTGGTTACAAATAACAAACAAAATAATCATATTGACATTCTGCAATCAAGTTTTGCTTAAAGTGCCCCTATTATGCTTTTTTGGACATTACCTTTCATGCAATGTGTAGTATAGCTGTTTATGAATATAAAAAGGTCCTATAGGATTGTTACAAATTTGCATAATGGTCTTCATTGGTTCCCCACAAACAGCATTTACTTTGACTCGCCCTCAAACACTATAGTTGTAGCTAAGGCCTGGAAGTGTTTGGTTCGTGTTGTCAAAATGCCGAGAAGATGCTGTTTTCTGCGCTGCGAAAGCAAATCCACTTTGCATGCACTTCCAAAGGATGAGGACTCGTGCTTGAATTGATATGGTAAAACCGACGCCATCGTTACTGTTCTTATCACTGTAGTGCTGCAATTCAGATATGGTAATGTTTTGTTTCCAACTCATGCTGTAAGCGGAAGACCAATCACAACAGACTGGGTCATCTGACCAATCAGAGCAGAGTTGGCTCTCAGAAAGGAGGGGTTTAGAGAGACTGAATTCTTTATCGAACAGTTTCAGACTGTGAGAAAAGAGGTGATGCTGCGTTGTATGTTATGAGAAAATTAAAGTGTTTTTTAACCTTGATTGCATGTAAACCTATTGTAGGAGACCTCAAAAGCAAGATTAGGAACCTTTAAAATACCATAATAGGGGCATTTTAATTCTATAAATTGATGTTTTATGAAAACATGCATGCATGGTTTAATAAGTGAAACAAGTTAATATGAATAATAAAATTAGTAGGTAAACATTAGTCAATAAAAACATGAGTTGTCAATTTTTTTTGAGAAATAAAAGTAATAAAAGTCATTGTATAATTCACTTGATGATATCTATGTTTTAAAACCTCTCAAATTTCCCTTTTCTCCACATACCCTCAACAGTAGACACTGAGGTGATGCTGGGACTGAGGAGCGCCTCGATCTCCTGTCCTTTGCTTGTAAGAGTCATGTGCAGGCATGGGTTGTTAGAAGGCTCAACATACTCGCTGAGGAGGCACGGCAAGGAGAGTGAAGCACATGGTCTTTTACAGTAACTGCATGACAGTTTATTCAATTATGTACACCCTTAGATTTACGGTTCCCCTTCAGTACAAGATATTAATTTCCCTCTGTTCCGCATGGGGCTTTTTTTTTTTTTTTTTGCTTTGTCTAAAAGGGCCACTAATGTAATTCACTTTTTGGTGGACTCTTATGCAAACCTGGAGTTTCTCTTCTGCTGGAAGTTGTGGTAGAGGCCCCTGAATCTGTCCCTGTTGAAAGCATCTGTCAGATATTTGTGAAAACGTTCCCTGTTGCTCTTCAGGTAGTTCAAGAGATCTCCGTTACAGCAATACTGGAATATCAGGTAAATGGGACCTGCAAAAAAAAAGCAACAAAAAAAAAGCTGTCTGACTCTGACTGTATATTGTGCTCATTTGACATATAAGTAAATAAATGGACAATAGTATTGATTTGAGTTCAAGTCACCATGAAATCAAAATGGACAAATCTTATTTTTTTTATGGAATATTACAGTATTTATTATAAATGATTTTTTATAAAGTTATGTTCCCTCGTAATCTTTAATCAAAATAACGTTCCCTTCCTGGGAAAAGTGGTGGTGGTCGAGGAGAGCCCCCGACATGATTGTAAAGCGCTTTGGGTGTACAGTAGTACATATGAAAGCGCTATATGCCTCATTCATTCATTCATTCCTCTTGCAGCGATATCTCTTTTCTTCTCTGATGACGTGTTGACTGGCGTGAGGGCAGGACAACCTTTCACTCACATGACATCACAGCAATAGCAAACCACAACCATCCAATCAATTCCCAATGGACCAAATCATGTCCCACAAGTCCTACATTTGTTCTTGTTTGAGAAGCCGTTTCACTTGGATAAGTACGTCACATTAGAGAAGAAAAGACTATAAAATGATTTTATTATGTGAGAAGAAAGAGAGTTTAGATTGCTGAGACATGGAGATTTCTCATGCAGGAGGTCAAACCTACAACCGACCAATCAGAATCAAGTATTCAAGAGAGATGCAAGATATTCTTATGTGTAGGAGTCTCCAGCAGAGGATGTGATTCAGAAACCCATGACTTCTCCAAATCTTACCTGAGCCTGTGCAAGCTCCGAGCAAGTTGACAATGTTTTCATGGTGTCCAATATGAGTAAGCATTTTCAGTTCAGACATCAGAGCTTCCTTCTCCATTGCCTGGTGCTTGTCTGTTTGACGCATAAGTTAACAATACAAAGTACATGTTTTACCAACATATTCCAAAATGCCAATGACATACACAATTGATTGATTTCGTTTTGTAGAGATATTCATGGCAGTTTGGTCATTACTTACCCTTTAACATTTTTACTGCTACCTGAATGGAGACTCCCGGCTTGCTGATCCCATATGCTGTAGCCTGCACAACCATCCCAAAAGCACCAGATCCTAGCTCATTCCCTTTGGAAAGAACACAGAAGGAATTAGTAACACCTAATAAGTTATTTCTAGCAAGTCAAAAGAAGGTTCCTGCTCCTATCTTTACCAAGCTCAAGATTTTCTCGTGGAAATTCCCATTTCAGATCATACTTAAACTCCTTGAAATCAATGTATATGTAGTCATTGTCGTTGGGTCCGACCATCTGAATCATCTGGATCTGACACTGGTACACAGGCTTCTGTGACAAAGGAGTGTGTGTTTCAAGAAGTAAGATCTATGATTCTTGGTGTTTGTCATCATGACAGAGACAGCAGGTTTACCTTAACTCTGATGAAGATGATTAAGGCAAAGATGACCACGAGGAGTATGAAGATGAACAGGAAACAAATCACGTATTCAATGCGGAATTCTGAGGAAAAAGAGAGTGATAACCTGCATATGAATAAAATCACCTGGAGATTATTTTTATGCCACAAATTTTAAGCCTGCATCTGCTAACCAAACTGAACTAAAATCGTGATTCATCCTCAATGCTACCATATTTTTAACTAAAATGAGGATTGCACAAACCAATTTCAGGAGTGTTCAATTTGCAGTTTAGACTCACTCGTTTGCAGTAGTATTTGTTCACTGCAGCCAGTCCCTGCTCTGTTAGTGATGCAGCATTTAATAAGATGGTCCTCCCTGTTTGAGTGTGGTCTGGCAAAGTGAATTTTCTTCTGACAGAACTGATCTGAATCAATGAACTTGGGCTGAGCAACAGGCATCTCTTCCCACTCTTTAGGATCAATACATCTGCGAAAATATTCAGAGTTCAATTAATTTGCAAACAATGGCATGTTTCAGTAGAGAAATTGGTTATAAGTCAGGTATATGTTAAAATAAGCCTACAAGCAAATGACTTGTATTTCTTGTATAAACATGTTTATGTCTTGATGACTTACTTAGCATGTGATGGGCAGATCTTCCAAGAGACAGTCACAGGTAGAGAGCTTTCAGTCTCACAAATGGTGAAGTTTGAATCTTTGTGAATTGTAATTATAGGAATGTCTGCAAAATCATTGCATATTAATATACAGTAGTCAACATTTTGAAGTCGATCAAAAAAATGTATCAAAGTTGTCCTAAGACAAGAATGGGTTATTGTTCAGAATTCATGTATAACTTTGATGAAAGGTTTTGATCCACTTCAAATGTTGACAACTATATTTCACATTTAACATCTCTCTTTTTAAACTGTTTATCACTTACCTATAATGCAGAGAGACATGTTCCTCGTGACACTATATTCTTGTGTCATTAGTTTCATTTGATACTGGCCCGGTTCAGGGTTACACATCTTAAAAGTACTAAAGAGAGAATGAACATAATAACCAAACACACACTGTAAACCATTTTAAAAATCCATCATCAAAATGTTATACATTTTAATTGTTCTTAACTTAAAATGTTTGAGTACACTAAATCATACATTTATCTTAAAACGTTTATGTAATCTCAATATAACCACTTGTATTAGTGTATACTTAGCTAGCTTTAACAAGCTAGTTTGCTAACATACTAAATTGTTAACAATAGAATATTAAACAGTAGCACTTGCTGTATGAGTGCAGCAATATAGAGGATTTATTTGCTCTCAAATCAAGCTAATGCACCACTCGTCACCATGATGGTAACTATCCTAAAACCAACATTAACAGAAATTCTTCTAAATATAGCATAACAAAACATTAATCACTACTAAATCTCCCACTTAACATTAATCTTGCACAAAAAAAATTATATTACACTTATTTTAGCATTTACTCTCCCTTTCGAGTGCCATCGGCAAAGCATGCTGGGAAATAGACATCCCAGCCGTTTCAGTTAAACTTAAGTTTGTCTAAATTAAAAGAAATAATTTCATACAACTCAAAACAATGAAACAGTTCAGTTTACTTAAAATATATCAGTTCTGTGAACCTGAAAGAAAGAGAAAGTGCTAAATACTCATAAAAGTTAATTTGACTAAACTAATTAGTTTATTTTAAGTTTGTCCTACTCAAACCAATCAAGTATTTTGAGCGTTAGGGTTTACAGTGCAACAACAAAATGGATTAAAATGGATGGCATGAGGTAAATACCTATTAAAATCAAGGTGGTGGGTCTCTCTGCCCTGTATTTCGGTTTGATTTGGTGTAATCCAGTGACACTGGGCTTTTGGGAAGGAGAACACCAGAGCCTGGAAGCAAAAGCTTTCCTTATTTCGTGCTAGTATGCTGTTGTTCTCATTCAACTGCAATATGTCGATTTTGTCATTTTCTGTCAAGGAAGGATTGCCAATAGAGGAGGGGCAAAATTATAATTGTCATTATTGTTTTTTGCAAAATACATTGTCTCAATTTATAGTCAAAAACTTCTGTATTACTCATTGTGTGTTCTATAATCACATTTATTCAAATAAATATGTTTACAATTTTTACAGAAAATGGCAATGGCTTTATTTACCAAGGACCTTGACATAGGTGTTCCCAGAGTGGCTGTTTTTAGATGTGCAGATGTACTCCCCACTATGCATCACGTTAACTGATTCGATAAAGAAGTGCTCTGTCCAATCTAAAAAATGTAATGATGTAATTCCCTTGACCTGCATTAAGGGCATACAAAACAAGTCAAAGCATCAGCAAACTGTCAGAGCAGTGAAACTAGGATTTTATATTTCTTCATGGTTTCCATCCATATCTTACTACTGTGTTATTGAAGTGCCATCTCAGTTCAGGGTTTATTCTAGAATTTATGGTGCAACGGAGTAGCAGAGACCGACCAGATTTCAGGAAAATCATCTTTTGCCCATCCACTTTCGTATTAAGATCTGAAGGAAAAGGAAATCATTTGTTGATATATAATATTAACATAAACTATGTTGAACATTGATATAATGTTATATATAAGTTGCATCATTATTTATCTGTTCTTTAGATAAGAAAATAAATATTTTAAGAACTTTTTTAATTCAGGTATCATAATAAGTCAAATCCAAATGAGGTCGCTGACACTATTTCAACAATGTCTTCTTGTCTCATCCACAGACCACAAAGATTGGACAAAGTTTGGGGTCGGTATGACTAAAGAAACAATACTTTTATTCAACAGGGATGCATTAAATTGATTAAAAGTAAAGACATTCATAATGTTACAAAATATTTCTATTTCAAATAAACACTGTTCTTTTTATTCATCAAATAATCAGGAAAATGTTTTGTGGTTTCCACAAAAATATTAAGCAAAGCAACTGTTTTGTTTCATTGCTCGTAATGAAAAAAAAATCTTGAGCAGCAAATCATATTAGAATGATTTCTGAAGGATCATGTGACACTGAAGTAATGATGCTGAAACATCAGATTTGCCATCACAGGGATAAATTACATTTTAAAATACATTAAAATAGAAAACAGTTATTCTAAATTGCAATAATACATCATAATATTACCGTTTTTACTGTATTTTTGATCAAATTAATGCAGCCTTACTGAGCTACAGTAGAAAATAATAACATTAAGAACCCCAAACCCGGTTGTGCACATGTATGAAAAAATAGATACAAATTATGTAACTATTGTAAAAAAAAAAATAACAAAAAGATTACGTACCGTAATGATAGAGCTCAGTACATTCTTCTCCCAGGGAATTATAGGCACAGCACTTTATATTTGGAGTGTTAGGATGATAATCATAACTCATCAAAATGCTCTCTGTCTTATACCACTTATTTGTCATGCCCTCCTTTGGTTTTGTGCTAAATGGAAAGCAATCAATCGAAATATTATAGCATTGATTCATTTAATAAATTCCCCCTACAAGGAACCATCCCTTCAGAAGCAGTGTCTAAAACAAACTTCATATTACCTGTTACCATACCAGCTGATGGTTGGTTTTGGGTTCCCCTCAGAAGTACACACTAATTGAGCTATATTGCTACTCCCTGCTTTTGCAATAGCTTTGAGCACTGGAACTGATGGCCTTTCTACAGAGACAACAAAGAGACGTCTTAAATGAAACAACTCAAGCAGGGTAAAGTGATGGATTAGATCAGATGCAGAGATGTTTTATGTGTAATTTCTTCATTTCTTCAGTGTTTGACTTACTTTGTTGTGATTGAACGACTGTAACACTATGAATGCCACAGATTACAGTGTATATTTCATTTCCAAATCTCTCAGTGTTCTGCAATGGATCCATAGAGGAATTTATCCTGTAGAAAGCATATAAAAGATTTCGATCAATTATTCATCTTTTACATAAGGTGATGTGTTAGAGTTACCTAATCCATTCAAACCTCATCATCCACCCAACACAAACCTTTGGTAGCAGAGACATTTAAGCCCCTCTGGTTTGTTTAGTTGACATGAGCTATAAATTTCCACAGTTTGTCCTTCAGTGACGTTCAGTTTAATTGGGTCAGAACTCATCAAGTCAGTGTCTTCCAATGTGCATCTTACGGTCTGAAAAAAAAAAAAGATGTGTACAGACTTTAACACTCCATAACCATCGATGCTGAAAAAAGAGCAAACTTAGCCTGACAGTAAATGTCAAATACAAAGCTCTGTGGTCATTACTGCTATTTCTGTAAAATCATCAGTTCTGCTTTTATTTATAGCTGCTTTTTAACTGCTTAAAAACTGGATGAACATTGGTATATAAATGCAAGATAAAAGATCTAATGCCCTTTCCCACAGAAATTATTTGTTACAAATAATTACAATAAACACAACCTATAAGCTACTGCAGTTCATTACGCAAAAAGGGTGTTAAAAGGTTTAATTCCTAATACAATTTAACAATGAAATAATTCCAGATTTTATACTGTGTGTTATTAAATGCATTTTTTCTTAAACACAGTGACATTTCATTAAGAATTTGGTACACTTTACAACAAGGTCTCATTTGTTAACATTAGTTAATGTATTAACATTAAATAATGAGCAATACATTTGTTACAGTATTTATTAATCGTTGTTAATGTTAGTTAATAAAAATCCAACTGTTCCTTGTTTGTTCATGTTAGTCCAGTGCATTAACTAATGTTAATAAATGCAACTTTTGTTTTTTAAATGTTGAAATGAACATGAAATGCTGCAGAATTGTTAACTAATGTTAACAAATAATGAAACCTTATTGCAAAGTGTTACCAATTTTTTTAAATAACATTTTCCAGAACCCTTTTACCATCTTAACTACTCCTTAATAAAACAATGTAAAATCACATAAATAAATAAAAACCGTGATGACATCAGCATCATCATCATCATCTCTTGTCTCCTTTTTCAACCACTTTCTATTTTGTTAAATGATTAACCACACATTTCTAAAGTAAACAACTAAATGTTAATGGTGTTTAACAGAATGTTTAAAGTCTTACAAAAATGTGCTTTGCAAAATTATCTTTGATAAACGGAAAAGGCATTTGTGGCCCTACATTTAAAGTACTGTTCAGGCAAAACTCGCGAGGGTGAATAGTTCATCGATAGGCATCTCTCTAACCTCAACCCTGTGGCATGTGTGTGGGTAAAGCTAAAATATTCGGAAGGAGTCAGAGAACTGTGGGCAGAAAGCTGTACTGAGCCAGTGAGGAGCTGATCAGAAAAACTTACCGATCCATCAGTGTCACATTGTGAACGAGTCTCAGTTGAAGCGTCCGTCATCGCGCTGCCTCGAGCTCCCAAGTGCAGCACGAGCAACACTTCGGTGCGAGATGATAAGAACAAAACAAATGTGGGAGAAAAAAAAAACTGTACATAATTCAATTGACTAGACCTTAAATTAAAGGAATAGGCTACATTTATGACATAGAAATTAGACAAAATTAATCACACACGAATAATCCATTAAAATGCGCACTTATTTACATAAGCTAAATATAGCCTAAATAAACTTGCAGTGTGTCACCGGTTCAGTGGTAAATTACAGTAACAAATATTTTGTCCGACTTACCCAAAAGCCTCTTTCCTGGACGCATCGCGTGAATGCATCACAGTTTCTTCCTCGACCCTTGTGTGATCATGAAATAGGATGGACAGCGAACAGAGGCGCAAAGACTTTCACTTCAGCGCATGACACAAAACATCCCTTCTTAATAAGGCTCAAAGGCATTCGCTTCAGCACATGACACACAAAACATCACTTTACTGACGTTTAAGCACTTCTTCAAATGCAGGTTGGGTATCACTGCCAGCAACTTAAAACAAGAAGCCTTTTGGCAAGTAGATTGTTTCTAAAAGGGAATTATATTTCTGGTAGCTTATATTATTTAAATTGGTCTTTTGAATGTGAGATTTTTTCTTTGACAGCAGCATTGCAGCATAATAATAATAATACAGCCTAATGATAATAAAATGACTACTTAATTATAATACAAATATACGAATTAACATAAGATTATAGGCCTATATATATATATATATATATATATATATATATATATATATATAGAGAGAGAGAGAGAGAGAGAGAGAGAGAGAGAGAGAGAGAGAGAGAATCCTGAGGCTCCAAAAACAGACTTTAATCAGACTAATAATCAGCCTCAGGAGGACACTGACACCCTCATCCACAGAATCTGGCCCAACCAAATGGTTAATGCTCAAAAAGAAGACTACTTGGCTTATTTGAATAAAACAACACACACAAAAAGTAAACTGCAATGTTATTTGGCCCTATACAGAGATTGCACAACAGCAGAATACCTGAGCACAGTCAGAGATGACAAACTGAGGAAAAATATGACAAAGTACAGAGTGAGACAACAGCCTGGCTTTAAAGAAAGGTGGATACAGACAAAAGAGAGCAGGTTATGCGCAAGAGCTACACTTCTTAACCACCTGCCCTTACTATGACACTCGAAAATACTTCTTTCCCAAATTTGAAATTATTTGTCCTAACTTCAAAAATCTGGAGAATGATGCACAAGCTCAATATTTAGGCTACTTGGTGAAAAATAGACTGCAAGGTGTACATTGTAAATTTGTGGGACAAAAATAGGGTTAAGTCACATTAAGTCAAATTTTATTTATAGGAATCAAATTTGAGTAATCCATCAGATTAAAACAACACACGCACACACACGCACGCACACACACTGTACCTTTGTTCTGTTTTTCTACGTTTGTTCATCACACAATTCGCTCTCCTTTGTTCATTTTTATTTTTCCTGCTCATATGCTTTGGCAATACAATGTACAATTTGTCATGCCAATAAAGCTAATTTGAATTGAATTGAATAGAATTGAGAGAGAGAGAGAGAGGGGGGATATAAAGTGCAAGGCAAAATTCTTTATTTTTAAGCACTCAATCTTAAATAGAGTACTTTAACATTACAACTCTCTTAACATTTAATTAAGCAGATGCAATAAACATTTAAATATAATTTATTCTGGGGAAAATAAAAGGTAATGAACAATGTTTCTATGAATGAATGATATTAGAGAAATGTACTATTTAATTGGTTGTATAATAATAATAATAATAATAATAAATGTATGTATAAATAATTATTTAGGCCTAATCAAATCAAATTGATACAAATACCAAATTAATTAAAAAAAAAATCTATTTTTGAGTTAAAAAAATGAAAAGTGCAAAGTAAAATTCTCTGCTTTAAACACTCAGGCTCAAAATGCAACATCAACACTCTGAAAGTATTAGGCTAAATGTCAATATACTATCAATGATTGTAATATGTGCTTTATGATTTAAATCAATCCCCTGCTGACTCCTTATGTGAACTGCAGTCCTGGTCGTACCCAGCATGCACAGCAGAGCTATTAGCGCTTAGCTGAACAAGTGTAGACAGAAGACAACAACAACAGCATGATCTCAGCCAAACGCCAGGCTGATGGACTAGTAGGCCAGCTATGGACCCCGATAACGAGTATCAGTGCATGGCAACAAAATTATGGCTCTTTATGACTAGTGATCTGGCTCGATGAGGAGGCTGATTTTATTGGTAAACGTCCAGTAAGGTGCCCGTTGTTTTTCAAGTGTTTTAGAATATACTGCTGCTAAACTTCGCTCTATGTGCAAGACTCTTCCGGCGGGAGCAGCAGCAGCAGCGGTGCCATGAACAGTGGACTCCCAGCTTCAGCTGCTCCGCTCGGGGGTGTCGGAATACCGTGTATGAAAGTAAAATTCTGTCGTTATTACGCGAAAGACAAGACTTGTTTTTACGGAGATGAATGCCAGTTTCTGCACGAGGACCCGTCCATGGCGAGCCTTTCTCTGCACGGTGGTAGTACAGGTGCTGGAGGAGGAGGAGGAGGAGGAGGAGGAAGCCCTGTGTCTTTATCTCTGGCCGGTGGAGCAGTGACGGCGGCAGGATACGTGCTTGGAGGGAGTCCGGCCAGTGGCGCTCCTGCGAACGTTCCCAAAAAGAACGATTCTCTCGGTCCCGCGGGAACAGCTCTTGAGGGACAGCTGTTGTCCAGTAAGTTTGCACTGAGGCCTAGTGTATACTGCTCTCTGTTGTTGTTACTACACGGCGGCTTTTGTCTAAATCGATGCCGTGGATTTAGCGCGGGCCTACCTCTCGCGACCAAAACAACACGGGAAATTCAACATGTTACTCCACAGCGCACAGGCACTTTTAAACGAAAGACGAAAATACTTGAACAAATAACGCAAAAGCGTTTAGTTAATGCTCTGTGCGGTTTTTGCTGGTTCCAAAATGTTTTTAAAAAATGAATAATTTGTCTAGTTTTTAAAAACTGGAAGGTATGGCAAGCCATTTTTACAATTATTCCTTTAAAACAAACCAGTATTTCGTTATCTTGTAGTACTCCAGTAATTCAGTTTTTTTAATTACTTTTTATCCGTTTCACATGTAAATAGTCATTATAGACACTACTACCAGGGGTTTTCTGTTAGTTTTAAGTAGGGCTGCCCCGAACTAAAGATTTGCCTAGTCAACTGTTAGTCGTTCATTCAAACCATGAATAGTCAGGGGGGAGAAATGCTAAACCATAGTAATGAGCATTTATACAAAAATACAAAATAAATAAACTATAATATAACAACCTTATCTTAAAACCATAATTGAATGAAAATATATTTAAAATGTAGGACTCCGTAGTGAACCGGCCTCTCACTCCCTTCCCTCATCAGGAAAAGTGAGTTTGAGAGCTGTTGCCAAAATAAAATAAAATGCAAATCCTCGTTACAAATAATTGCATGATTACACAATCGGGGTACGTGCTTTTCAGCGGAATATGGTGACAACTAGCCTGGTTGCAAAACGTATGACACAAAACCAACACATTTTCTGTATGCTGACACATCAGGACTAGCCTGACTACGTCAGACTTCGTACTTCCGCTCAATTTCATTTCGCTTCTGTACTCAGTCTGAGACAGCGTATCTATCCGTTTTCCTCCGGCCTGAAAACAGCCGCCCAATCAACGAACAGAGGGCGGGCTGAAAGCCGTGACGTAGTCGCTAAGCGCCGAGTTTAAGATTAGGTCAGGGAAATCGAAAACGACCGCGGATATGGAGACGCGGATGCAATTCGCTCTGTTGTGGAGAATATTCCTGGCATTAGCAAACTGAAGCCCGAACAAGAAGAGTGTGTATTAAACATTTTGAATGGAGGTGATGTTGTGGCCCTACTCCCTTTGGGAAAAGTTTAATTTAATAACTATTACCGATCGTCAGCGAGAAACTGGGGAGCCTTTTGACAGGTCAGTGTCTCCTTTCTTTTCCAGGTCTTAAATATTGCCATGACATGCTGTAATCTTGCAATTAAGTTGCAGCATTTCCGACAGACTCGAGATGAACAAAGAGCTGTGTTTAACAGAACTAATCCTAACTTTGACAGTTGGCTGCAAATATTTTTTTGTTTCTCTCTACTGTCAAATATCAGTTTAGAGGCCCTGATTGTACCGTGGATGTGTAGATTAACTTCGCATAATCTGCAAAAGTCGTTTACAGCCATGTTCACTCCGGTATTTCGCTCGCATCATCAAGTGTTTACAGCAGGTTTACAGTGGAAGTTCGATCATAGATTTGAGTTCGATGCATGATGTCTGTGGTTCGATGGGGCTGTGTTGGCACATAACATACGTCATATATAAACTTATCTGATTGGCTTACGGGTAACCAATGATTTTAAACTTCAGACAAGCGCCCCCTAGCGAGAGAGAAAACACTTCTCTATTATGCCATTCCAGACTCTGTCTACGAAGCAAAGTGAAGTAGCAGAGTCGGGTATTACCAGGCTACATCAGGACAGCACTCAGATCAAACCAAATTAGCGACAGTCGGCAGACACTTCTGTTTCATAGACAGTGAACAGTCAGCAATCGTGGCATTTTGGAATCCACAACCATAAACAAGCAATGTTGACAATAAATACTATTATTAGACTGGCACAGCAGCCGATTAAATGTATGTAACAGACCGCAATTACTTCATTTGGGAAAAATTTAACAATAATGCAGAATTACAGCAAATGTGCATAGTGGTAGCTGAGTTGGTAAATTTCAAAGATTGACCAATAATTCTGCAAAATTACTGTTTTCTGAAATAAAGTTTTACAAAAAGTGGCAGTGGCAGAACAAAATCAGTTAACACGTGACCTATGAGATTTTAAATAACTTACCCAAGCAGCAAACTATTCCATCTTGGTTGATGCTGTCATTTAGATGTATCACTTATAATTGCTGGGGTTTAAATGCTTTCAAAAGCTTTGGCTTTCTGCACCAAATTGATCTCTGTT